GATTTTAATTAAATATGCTATATTTTAATGATACATGCTGTGTAAGGTATATTGAGTTATCCTTGGTATGTATTTTAAATGATATATTTAATAGTTTCTCCATTATTTATTTTTTTGCTTAAGTCCCACAGCTCCCTTACAATGCACAGCATGAATAAAAGTAAACTAAATAAAAGCTGATTGAATGTTATCAATATTATTAGGAAGCATAAAAGTGGAAAAGCAAAATGTCCGTCTTCAAACACATACAGATATGGAAAGAGACTTTTTACCGCAAAGCTTAAACCAGGGTGAGGGCTAATCAGAGTGTTTTTTGTAAGCTGTTTTGTTGCTGTGTTATTGGAATACATCCACTGTCACAAAACTAACAGGTGCAGAATCATTACACAGACACACACACTCTAGTTTGGATTCTTATTGACCTAAAGATCTCCCACTGACTCTCAATCTTTACTCATTTTTCTGTACTCCACTGAACGAGACCTCCAAAAGGGGTGAACATGGGCCCCAAACTAATGTGTTTGGCACATCTAAATTTAAAGATTTTGTTTTTAAATTTGTCCTTTCATCATCGGTTAGTCACGCGTTACAGTTGTGGTGGGAACATTGTTTCAGATCATGTTCCCAAATGGCTAGAAATATATGTCTACACACACACAGAGACAGACACAGAGTATACAGCAGGGGACTTGAGCTCAAAGCATCAACTTAAATGAGGTGAAGAAGCGCTTGCATGTAAATGCTGGGGGGTGGCAGAGTGTGAGGGAGATGATACTGTGAAAATGTAACTCATTTGCTTGGAACAGGTTCATTCATTACTGCCGGTGAAACGACACAGGCCATCTCTGGAAGAGAAGAGCGATTGCACAGAGCCGACCCAGACGGGGGTAAACATCAGCTGCCAGTATCAATAGAGCTTGTGTTCGTTTTCGCACGCGCTCTCCCAAAAAGATAAACGACGAAACATTTACAAAAGTAATGGCAGGAATCTAAGCCTGCAAGTGCAGACGGAAACGGGGAGGAGGAGGCAGGCATCGCATTCAATTGCCCGCTGTTGCACTGCAAGGACTTGGCTTGGCCCTTTAGGAAGAAGTCACAGAAAAGACAGAAACCGAAACCTTCAGGGCCCGAAACGCAGATTAAGTAGGTGATTGCATTCAAATAGCCACGGCTCCGGTCCGGTCGAGGAGAAAGGAGGGAAGGCTTCGTTTTGTGCAGTGACAAAGGAAGACAGGTGGAAGTTGGTCACCGAATTCATTTTGAATTTGGGCAAGAAAATAATTAGTCCAGGACAGGTGTGTGTCAAGAATAAAGTCACTTAAACCAGAAATCCCATGTATGAGGGTAGGTTTAGATTACATGAGACACGTCACAACTTTTCTCTCTGAAACGAGAGGACTCTAGTGTCACACTCACGAGCTTCAACTCCTCTATAGGCATATATCCAGTTCAGTATGTACTAAAAATAACCCCGCAAATATAAAATCCCCTTGAACCCCACCCCCAGGAAAGGACAATTTAGAACAGATGATTGCACGTAGCCTCCCTTTAGGAAGACATCAGAATATCATCCAAACCCAAACACTGAGTAACATGCTAACTCCACACAGACAAGAGCCCCAAGCTGGGCTCTAGATCAGTGAGGCAAGAGAGGCACTACCATATCACTAGTACAATCACTGCCATTCCCATTTATATATGTGGAATAATCTCCTCCAGATAATAAGGGGCAGCAGCAGTGTGCTGCCTTGGATTTGAACCCACGACCCTCTGATCAGGTGGGTCTATATCCCAAACAACAGCTCCACACTATTGCCAGTGCTGGATTTCCCATTATTTTCCAATTTCCCACAATTTCTAGGGCCTACGAAGGAGGGAAACACTAGTGACTAACGGAAAACGAGCTGCAACAACAGGCTTGCGACCGACTCTAGGTGCTCCAAATCAATAATCCTGCGCTGTCTGGGGGCTGTTCTAGACACTAGAAGTATTGCAGTGATGGTCGCTCGACTCGCTCCATCAATCACATGGTTCAGCATTAGAATAGTTTAAGGTGCATCATGTCAATCGATGTCATTCCATCGGCGTTTATCCCTCTTCTTGCACATTTCGGAGTGAAAGTGCCTAGGGCCTACGGACACCAAAATCCTGCCCTGACTATTGCCTTTGTTTTGTGTGCACCAGCTGCAAATCATGTTCAAGTTCATGTTTGTTATTCCAGCCATACACAAGTATACAGTGGAACGAAATATCGTTCCTCCTGATCCACAGTGCAAATACAGACAGGGCACTGACAGACATCATAGACACGATACACATAGTGCAAAGTGCAGATTGTAGTGCAAATTACAAGGCAAATACATAATACAATATACTCAACACACTGGGGATTTAAACCCTGTTTCTGGAATTGGAGTGGGTGCAAGTAGATTCCAGGGTGTTGAGGAGCCCGACAGCCTGCAGGAAGACGCTGTTACAGTCGGGTGGAGCTAGCCCGCACACTGCGATATCTTTTCCCCGCAAGTCAAGAACTCACGCCTGATACCGTCTGCACTGCCACCACGCATGGAGGGGCCCCTGGTGCAAGTCCTGCCTTTGCATGTGCCGGACATGTCATCCGTACATTTGAGGAAGGCCTGGACTTTGGAATCTGTTGAGAACCTCTGCACTGCACAGAGGCTGCCCTCGTTTTTTGCTCTTTTTTTTTTTACCGTAGGGAATCAATAATAAAAGCTAGTCGAAAAAGAGAAAGAGAGCACCGAGCACCTTTTCGGAGCTGAAGGAGAGATGGAAGTTGTCAGGCAGGAGACTGGCTGACGGCAGCGACAGGGCTGTGCAGGCACAGCACAGTGCAGCAAGGCTCATTAAGTTCCACCGGTGCGTGTTCAGCTCCAGCTAACGCAGGATCAGGCCTTTTTGAGCTAGAGACAGTAAATCCCCTGGATGTCCCCCATGGCTATGTACAAATTGGAGCCGGAGATCCAAACCACAGGAGCCTGCACAGCCTCCCATCTTGAGATGCCAGGGCCGAGCAGCTTATGAATGTCTTACACAGCTCCGGCGCACTTCAGACACTCCCTGCCATCCCACGGCACGTGCAGGACAGCGCCCGGATTCCCAAACCAGGCCTTCTGCATTGCATTCCTCAGTTATGTAACGGATCTGCTTGTTGGCGTTGTTCCAAGCCGTTTTCCGTTTCCTTTGACGTGAATGATGAGTGTATATAACTTGAAATTTCCGACAGATCCAGGGATGAAAGCAGTGAAGGCTCAAATAAAGAAAGAATTAAGGTCGATTTAGTCACAAACAGGCTCAGATGGGAAGATGCAGAAATGACTCGAGTTATAAGCCTGGATTGGAGTCTCAATCTTTTTTCAGCTGCACACCATTCCAGTATTTCCCCCATCCTTCTGTCTTGGAGTCCTGTAGGTTTTACGGGTTTGCTTTGCAATTTGCAACTGATTAGGTTGAATAAAAAAAAGGGTTTTGGCTTCTTTTCCAAATGACAAATTCAGTTAACTAATTCGAGAGATGGGATGAAAAATGAGAACTGGAGCTACCATCCCTGTTAGGCAAAGATACACATCTCTGTTCATGAAGGTTGGGATCCAGGGCACAATGGCTACATGCACTTCAGGCTTTTTTTTCTCCAAATACCTAAGATCTTACAGACGTAATGGAACTTGTCATTACGTCAGATAGACCAAAAAGTAATTTCCTGTTGATGTAACAGACGTTTTGATTATACACTCCTGCTTCCCTATGTGTAAATGCTCCATGGCTGCAGGTGGCGCTGTGTGCATCATTGAAGCACCCCAGCTTCACCGTTACAGTATTTTTTCACCAGTTCTTCACAAGTCAGGAGGCTGTGACAGGGCTGATGTCCGTCAGCACTGTCATTTCCTCAGCAGGAAGAGCAGTGGGGCAGTGCGGTGGCTCTGTGGCTAAGGCTCTGCGCCTGTGGCTGGAAGGTTGCCCGTTTGTATCGGGCGGCCAGCAGAGGAATCCTACTCCGTTGATCCCCTGAGGGAGGCCCTTAACCCCAACTGCTCCAGGGGCGCCGTATAAATGGTTGACCGTGCGCTCTGACCCCAAGCTTCTCTCGCTGTCTGTGTGTCTCATGGAGAGCAAGCTGGGGTATGCAAAAAGACAAATTCCTCATACAAGAAATTGCATATGGCCAACAAAGTGATCTGATCTTATCTAAAGCCAAAGTATTAAGTACGCTATAGCCTTTACCCTTAATTTGACATTATAATGTTTTTTGTCCTTAATTTGACTGAACTATTGAAGCCCCTTTAAAAATAGATGTCTATCCCCAGACTTTGAGGTCCGAGCCCGTTCCTGCAGGATTCGGCGGTAAAATTCGTCAGTGAGGAGAAACATGGCATTGATTGATCCAATTACGGCACTCAGCTCAAAAACAAAAACAAGGAGACGGTGCGGTTTGCTGAGATCATGGCTGGACCCTCCTGATTTAAACATGTCAGGTTCTAAACCCTTATGGACAGCAG